CCCCCCAAAGAACAGAAACATGCCTCCCCCAATAAACACCACATTCCCCGGATTGGATTCTGTAGACAGAGATATTTGGAGGCAGCTGAATGCCAAAGCAGGGCACCAGATTCTCTCCCTGCCCCCTCTGTTTAACCAGCGCGCTGAAATGTCAGCTATTTGGGCAAAGCTGAGGTTCCATCGGTTGCAGGTGTTTCTCTTTCTCCCTCTCCCCAGTACCCCCACGAAGTGAATGGGACCCCGATGTATCTCTATGAAGTGGCCACAGAGTCCGTGTGTGAATCAGCCGCCAGGCTTCTCTTTATGAGCATCAAGTGGGCAAAGAGTGTGCCAGCCTTTTCCACATTGTCATTGCAAGATCAGGTATGACCAACAGGGCATCAGGGGTTGGGAAGGAAGTTACAGCGCTCAGTTTGATAAGCTGGATGCCACCTGCAGTAATCGGGAGGGCAGGTGTACATTCTGAACACGGGGAAACCATTTATCTTTACCAACATCATTCTAGAGGTTCAAAGATCTACCTATGGAATCTTTGTTAGAAATGTAACTATGTTATTTCAGGGTAGTTGAATGTGCTCTAAGTAAAACACGTATGGAAGTACATTATCTTTTTTTTTAAGTTTAGTTAAAGCATTCAAATTTAAAAATCTTAATGTTCTTTAATACTGGCGATAAGCCAAGAATTAGAATGCACAGCTGTAGTCCTAGCACTGAAGTAGGAGAACCTGGAATTTGAAGCCAGTCCGGGCTACATGGGAGACTATTGATAAAATGATATTTTCTTATGAACACTCAAGCCGAGAAGACTAGAAGGTGATAGAATATTCACTTGTGGGATTTTCATGTCGTCAGCTTTATATTCTCCACTGTGATGTGCCACAGTGTGGGCTAATGGCTTATCACCATGGAGAACCAAGAGGCACATCTCTTGTTGACTAGTATCGTGTTTTATTGTTGGTGGTCTGCTTGGGGGCATTGTTGGGGCTCAGATCCATGGCTTTGTGTGTGAGGAAAGTTTGCTGATGGCATACCACATCCCTTGATTCTTTCGATGCTTTCAGAACTTTTGAAAACAACAAAAAAGTAATTTTATCTAATTCTTTGTTTATACATGATGTTCAAAAGTAAGAAAATTATGTGCATCTAAAAACCTGCATTTTAGCAAACCCCATAAAATTTCCTGCTAGGAATATTAAAAGTTGTCCTTTTGTCAATATATTTTTTATTTGTAAAAGGGAGAAAGAAACAGAGTAGCCAAAACTATTGACTGCTAAGGGCAATCACAAAAATTAATGACTTTTTTTTTCAAAAGGCAAATAAACAATTTTTTTGCTTCTTTTATTTTTTCGGATAGTTGGAATCAAACCTGGACTTGCATTGCTCAGGAAGTGCTCAGAGAGTGCTCAGGAAGTGCTCAGGGAGTGCTCAGGGAGTGCCCTGCCTCTGCCTCACATGCATAGGTCTGAGAGCAGAGGGCTCAATTCTCTTCATACCTAACTAATCATAGCATGAAATATGGCCACAATTATTGTTCACCTCTAATCTAAAATTTATTTTTCTGTACTCAATGCAATAAGATAAAAAATGAAACATTTTAAAAATGAAACATTTTGAGCCTCCCAAGGTGCGTGGTGGCACATGCCTTTAATCCCAGCACTTGGGAGGCAGAGCCAGGCGGATCCCTGTGAGTTTGAGGCCAGCCTGGTCTACAAGAGCTAGTTCCAGGATAGGCACCAAAAACTACGGAGAAACCCTGTCTCGAAAATTCAAAAAAAAAAAATTAAACATTTTGGTCTAATTGTGAAAATAGTTGCAAACCTTTATGATTCTTAGCTTTCAGAAGTAAATTCTTTCATATAAATCATCCAGCATAATAATCTAGAATTGTTTGGTTTTTGAAAGATTTTTAGACATAGAGAATTGTTTTCAAGGTTATAGGTAATGTTTTTGACCAGGTTTGCCGGTTGCCCTTTAATCTTTTGCATGGATGCTCTCTCTCTCTCTCTCTCTCTCTCTCTCTCTCTCTCTCTCTGTCTCTCTCTCTCTCCCTCCCTCCCTCCCTCCCTCTGTGGGTGGGTGGGTGAATGTGTGTGCATACACACACTCACACACATACATGTATATATAAAATTTGACTACTTTTTTTTGAAAACAAGAATTTGTCGACTGCAATCCAAATAAAATTCACTTCCTGCCTGCCACTTAGCCTTTTGCTGGAAACCCTTCAACAATAAGCAAACTACGGTGAAGTGGAATCCAGTGCACTAATTTGGAAAAAGAGCCAGATTTTCATTTTAAATATTCAACAGCACATTTTATTAGAATGAAAACGACAAGCACCTTGATGCTGTCCACTTATGAGTCTCAGAGAAATCAGGCTGGGAGACGAGGTAAAGCCCAGCAAAACCCGATTAACATAATTACACCCTGATTTTCCCTCGTGCCTCTTGGGAATTAGTGATTTCTCCCTCTCCCTCTCCCCCTCTCTCCCAGCCCCCTCGGCTCTCTAGGAAGGTGGGGACCCTGACCGCAATGCTTAGTCAGGAGTCTTCAGTGGTTTACACCAGAGCAACACACCTGCTCAGCCGCTGATGGCATTTTTGGATTTTCAGTCTCTAGAGAAGTTTCTAGGTGGTGTCAAGGGCTTGAAAGGCAAAGCCTGAGGGAGTGCTCTTTGAGGAACTCGAATGGCTGACTCTGAGCCGCATGTGTGTGTCTATAGGCACTGCTTCAAAACAGGAAAATGTGGGAAATAAGAGGAAAATAAATTATTTGGATTTTTTTTAAAACCAAGACAGGCATTTAAAACACTTTAAAGGAAATTTACATATGGAAATTGTTTATAAATTTATAAATTACACACTATATTATATTATACATCTATTGTATGACAGCTGATGCTTTTGGAAGATGCTTGGAGAGAACTGTTTGTTCTAGGAATAGCACAATGGGCCATTCCGGTTGATGCTAACACTCTACTGGCTGTATCTGGTAAGAATTGCACAATTTAATGACTTTGTTGTAGAAATTACCATAAAAATACATTACTGAAAAAAGAACAACATGTAAAGAATAACAAATTCCTGCTGAACAATAGAGTATACCTGTCATTTATAAATCTATATTTAAATGCAAATAATGTTGTTTTGTTGTATTCATGACTGCTTGCATTGTTATTTAAATGCAAATTACTGTGTTTGTTATCATCCAAGGGAAGATTTTATATTAACTTTCATACAATATAGCCAGTTTACATGGAATCACATATCTCAGAGTGACAATTGAATAGATATTGATATGCAGGATTTTGTCAAAAATCAATATTAAAACATGAAAATGCCTTCATATTAGAGTATTTATCCCATATTTCAATTCTAGGCATGAATAGCGACAACACAGACTCCCAGAAGCTGAACAAAATCATATCTGAAATACAGGCTTTGCAAGAGGTGGTGGCGCGGTTCAGACAGCTCCGATTAGACGCCACTGAGTTTGCCTGTCTGAAATGCATTGTCACTTTCAAAGCTGGTAAGCAGACAGACGGACCCCTGTCTCTCCCTCGTCTCCTTTTGCACCCCACTAGTTCAGCTGCTTCAAGGTCAGTTCTTGGCTGACCTGGGTGGGGGCAGTAGGTGCAGCAGTATTTTCTTGGGGCTGATACTCTGAAGTTGGCCCAGTCTTTCACAGCTGTGGAGATCTGAACGCTTTCAGGGTTATCATCCACCTCCAGTGCCCTGTGAGCTCGTGGTCCTCCCTATTCTCCAGATTGTCATCCACCTCCAGTGCCCTGTGAGTCCATGGTCCTCCCTATTCTCCAGATTGTCATCCACCTCCAGTGCCCTGTGAGCCCATGGTCCTCCCTATTCTCCAGATTGTCATCCACCTCCAGTGCCCTGTGAGCCCATGGTCCTCCCTATTCTCCAGATTGTCATCCACCTCCAGTGCCCTGTGAGCTCATGGTCCTCCCTATTCTCCAGATTGTGATCCACCTCCAGTGCCCTATGAGCCTATGGTCCTCCCCATTCTGTCTCTCACGGTTTCCTGGCCTTCGTTTCTAGTTCCTACACACAGCGGTTCTGAACTGAGAAGTTTCCGGAATGCTGCTGCCATTGCAGCTCTTCAAGATGAAGCTCAGCTAACTCTCAACAGCTACATCCACACCAGGTGACCGCTATTTGCTGTGAACATGTACTTAAGAAAATTGCTTCCATTGTGAATGTTCCAGCAGGCAGTAAGAAGCCAGTTCAAACATTGTGACTAATTATCCTGTTGCCTGCCAGTTAATTTAGTTAGAATCCATGTCCTCACCTGTCTCTGGGAGGAGGCCGAGAAGGGCAAATTGAATTAGGTGATGAGAGAGAAGGGCTTTGCCAGGCACAGCATGCTATACCGGCTGAATGAGCTGACCAACATCAGGAGCTGCTCATACTTGTGAGTCTGCACATGGAGGGAGTCAAAAAGCAATGAAGTCTGAAGCACAGGTTGCTGGATCAGAAAGTGTTCAGATAATCCTCAGACAGGTACCCTTCTTTAGCGGCCAGCCCCAAGTACAAGGAACGCAGGGCTTCACAAAGACCATCTTTGCTCTGGCCACCACTGTTGCTTGGTGATTGGTGTCTGCTGAGCTATCTGGGGTCCCAGCACCCACCATGTTACTTCTGTCTAGGCAGGGTCCTCTGACTGACATTGGAAATTGGTAGAAACTCTTAGAAACTCTCCAACATGGGAGCTCAATAAAGTTCCCTCAGCCCAGCACCAGTGTGAGCTTCCTGATCCTATTTTCAGAAGAAACAAGGCAGGTTTTTAAAAGAGTAATGAAACCTCTCAAGCTTCCTAGGTTGGGACTGCAATGGATCTGAGATTGGAATAGAATTCAAGAGGGACTCATGGAAGCATGACTCCATCACTTCAACATTAGCCATAGACACCATGGTGGTGCCCATAGACACCTCTATGGACAGAGGCCATTAATGTCGCCCTCACCTGAGGGGTCAGAGAAATCCCAAGTCAGAAGTACCTGTGGGTGCTAGGTGCTCCTTATTTCTGTCACAAATCACCCTTTGAATGCTGAATGAGTGAAACTGTTCTGTGTTTATAAAACACCATTGAAATGGCATTGCTTGGTAGCTCAAGTAAATATACTTTTTCAAAGTAAAGTTCAATGGCTGGGAAATTTAAAGTCCACCTTGAACTATAGTATATAAATTGCGGGCACTTAATTTTGGAATTCAGATTCACAAAAATGAAACCATACATAATCAGGGCATGTTTTCCCATTAAAGCTGACTGTGTCCCGCAGCTCACCTTTGGGCACTCAGAGCCAGGAGAATATTCAGAACACTAACCAGAGAACATGGAACTCTGGTTTTTTGATTCAGCCAGGCCTTTGCTAGGGAGTCACCATCCACAGGCGAATGATGCAAATTATCAGAAAGAACAAGGGACCACCCTTCCCACTGTGGGAAGTGGGCAGAAACATCACTTCCCACAGGAAAGGGGAGGCATGAACTCTAATTGGAAAAGAGCGGGGAAGGTCCAGGAAGGAGATGGCATGTGAGAAGGGCCTTGCATGGTGGAGGGATTTCAGTAGGGAAGGAAAGGTGTAGCTCCAGGGGGTGGGGGATGGCCAAGGTGTGCTGGAGGTGTTCTGTAAGCTTCTGCAGAGATAAGCAAGGAGACTCTGAGACAGCCTGGGGCTCCAGAGCTGCTGACAGGGTGGCCCTGGAGAATGCCACTGCAGATGACCACAGTCTGTTGTTGAGACACAGTGAGGACACGGCAGCTCACCCTCAGGTATCTGGAGGTGACCGGAAGACGTCCCCTCTGTCATGGAACTTCCAGCTCACAGTATCAGCTGGAACTATAAAATGTCTAGAGTCAGACAAAAGGACTGTTCCTTTTTGTCTTGGCTTTTCCAAATCAGTGCACACTCTAACTATGTCCCTACCTGGAAAAACAACATGAGAAATGGAAAAGCTAACATGCAAACTTACATATCTGCTAGTGTTTTATAATCAACTCCTCTAGTTATCCAGGATATATGGAACTGGCCAGGAACTGGAATATTACAACACCATAGTAGAGCTTAAGATCACGAATCTGTGATAGGCACAAAACGTTTAGACTGGAAAAAGAAACATTCATGCTAATGGGTGAAGTCAGGGGTACATATTCTACAAAATAATTAAAAATGTATCTTTATTCTGTAAGAATTTCAAATCCATTCCCTTCCACATCTCCCTCCCAATTTCATGGACTCTTTAAAAACAAAACAAAGCAAAGCAAAGCAAAACAAACCCCATCGAGTTCTGCTGGTAGAGCCTGCATGTGCTAAGGCTATCCTCTGGAGCACAGGGCACGTACCTGGGGCTGCTTCCCTACAGGAAATTGTGCTCCTTCTCCCAGCATCCATCAGCTGCCAAAAGCTCCTCTCCCAGGGGTGAGATTTCTCGAGCCCCTCCTCATTCACACTGGGATTTCGGCTGACTTGATTTTTTTCAGGTCTTACGCACGCAGTCACAACCACTGTGAGTTCATATGTTCAACGGGACTGCATGTCTAGAAACCACAGATTCAAAGCGGTCTCCTGCAGCCTCTGGTTCTTCCTGTCACTCCATCCCACTTCTAAAATGAGCCCTGGGGTGTGATGTGGATGTGGATGGCTGAGTGCTCACAGTCTCTGATTCTCCACAGCTGATCAGTTGTGTGGGTCTCTGTATTAAGCATCGTATACTGGAAGAAGCAGCTCCCCTGATGAGGGGAAGAGCTGCACTAATCTATGGCTACACAGAAAAGTATTTGGAGAACAGTTTGATACTGTCCATTTCACAACACAGTAAGGTAGTCGCTCCCCTCAGGCCCATGGCTGACTCAGTCACAGGTTCTTAGCACAGTTCGCAGTACCAGGCATGACTTGTGGAGTGGTCCTTAAATCCTCTAGAAAACAATCTTGAGCAGTCAGACACACTGACGCACGCGTTGGCGTTGTTTCTAGGTGGCCCTCTACTCCACGTATAATAAGCCGTTCTTGTTGACTAAATGACCAGCTCTTGCCCACCTAGAGAATAAAAGAGGTGGGAGAGGGGGGTGGGGAATCCACTTGCAGACAATCAGGAGTTAACTCTTGGGCTTGGAGGCAGTTCAGTGGCAGAACACTTGATTGCCTCGCACGCGAAAGGCTCTGGGTTCATCTCAGCAAGCCGAGGCAATCAAACCCACGCAAGGCGGTTTAATAGTCCGTGGTTTCTGGATTCTCCCGAATCCATCCTTTTCAGCCTGTGTTATTTCCTGCAACGGTTTCCCGTCATGAGAAAGGTTCCGCATGTTGGGTGGATGCCACAGACACAGTAGGAACTGTCTAGGCATCCCCTGCCACCTCAGTTCTGCAGAGCACTCTGGGAAGGGAAACTGCCCCGGAAGAGAGAAGCGGCTAAAGCTGAAGGAAACCTGGTAGATTACTCAGCACCGAGAACAAGAGGTCATGTTCAGGTGTCTTGCTTTTCTAGCTGTCAGAGCTGTTGGCTGATGTTTTTGTTCAGTTGGGCTTCTTTAGGTTGTTGTTGGTGGTGGTCTGAGAGAGCCTCATTCTATAAGCTGGGCTGTCCTGGATTCACTATTACTATGTAGTACAGGCTAATTTTGAACTCATAGCAACCTTCCTGCCTCAACTTCCTGAATCTTGATATTTCTGTAGGAAGCACCACGGCTAACATTTTTATTTTTTTTATTGTAGATAAGCATCATTATTTCCACCCCAACTTATTAAGTGTCGTCGGGTGCCCTTTCCAAGAGTTCCTGTGAAATTTGATTATGTGAGAGCCAAACAGGGTAGTCAGAGTGAATTAGAAGCTTTATGTCTGGCTGAGAAGAGTTCTTCTTTATCCAGACCTAAGAGACAAGTGTGGAATTGTCCTAGACTGTCTCTGTACAGTGGGGTGATCAGGCAATTAAACACAGTTAACAAGTTCCTGCAGAGGAATTTGATGCCTCTCAGTTTCTGGCACCTGTGGCCTAGGTGGAGCACGGTTCAGTCACACATGTGTCCCTGGAGCTCATTTTAAGATGGCTTTTTCCAAGTGGCAGGATGCTGTCCTGTAGAGAGTGTTGATGGCCAACTTCAAGCCACTGACTGGAGTAGTCCCAGGGCATGAGAGGTGGGGTACAGCATCTAAAGACAGCGGGAATGGAACACGTACATCTGAGTACAAATGTGTGTTGGGCATCAAGTAAGGAAATTGTTAAGCAATTTCTCCCATCTTTAATTATGTGCCAATTTCATTGACATGAAAGCTGGGTGGCACTGCCGCCCAACAGGACTTAGTCTTTAATTTGCAGTGTAATAAGGGCGGAATTATTCCTGAGAGTGACAAAGTATAATGCCTGAATAATAATTGGGAGAATTGCTTAGAAAAAGAAGCCATTTTATTTGAGAGGAATAGTCTGTTCAAGAGCGTTGAGAATTTAAAAAATATGAATTCCACCGCCAGCTTCATAATCAACCCTATGGTCATTCCCCACAGTGATAACGTGACATTTATTCTTTGCTTTAAAATTAGCATCAGGTATCTTAAAGCTGATTTGTCTAGAAATGAAAATGTACTCTCCTTGCTGATGTTGAGAGAGAGAGAGAGAGAGAGAGAGAGAGCGAGAGCGCACATGTGATTCGGATAGTACCTGTTTCCAGGGATTGCCGCAGTCTACCTGTGAAACAGGCACAGAGGCACCTGTGCCACAATCTACTGCAGCATGCTCCTGCAGCAATCTACAGCATGTTACTGAAGAGGCTCCGGTCAGGAAGGCACCCCGGGCTGATGTGTGTTCAGGTATGAGATGGGTCCCTGCTTGTGTGGGCTCTGATATCGCTTTCGTGGCTTCTCCCGTTGCAGATACCCCACGCAACCCTGCCGCTTTGGGAAGCTCCTGCTGCTTTTGCCAGCTTTACGTTCAATTAGCCCATCCACCATAGAGGAAGTATTTTTCAAAAAGACCATCGGCAACGTGCCAATCACAAGACTGCTTTCAGATATGTACAAGTCTAGCGACATCTAAGCTCTTCAGTACCCGCTTCCAAGGTGGGGCCATAGCGGACAGACTTCTGCCTTGCAGGACAAGCCTCAACTAACAAACCTTCCTGGAAGGAGAAACCTGGGGAAAAAAATGCCAGTGGACACAAAACACTAGCTATGACCCGCTGCTCCACACGAAGTGGGGTGGCTGGAAAGGCAGGTGGTACACACACTGTTGCCATGCCCTGGGGTGGGCGACCTGGGGCCACCACAGGCGATGCCAGCCGTTCTGCCTCTGACCCGGAAGACTCCGCTGAACTCTTCCAATCGGAAAGACAAGTCTCACTTCCTTTTCCCTTTTAGCACACGAAGTCAGCTGATCAACAATAGCTTTGTGTGACATCATCCTGCGGCCTTCAGAATTCGGTTGGGTCGGGGCGTCTACTTTAAAAATAATGCTTAGGTTTTAAATCAAAAGTATTATCAAAAAATTTCCCTTCTATCATAATACTTCATTAAGTGGCCTTCAGAACCAAGTGAGTAAGTGAAATGTAGCTTATGCTGTGTAATTCCCCCGCCCCCTCCCCTGTTCTGTTCTTTCTCCTTCTTTTCTTAGCACCATGGGCCAGGCAATCTCGTCAAAGGAACAGACGACCAAAAGGAGTTTCCCACCAAGACTTCCAGTTGGACAGCATCTCAAAGCAGGAGACCTCTACGGAAAGAACCTTAGTCCTGGCAGGATAACTCCAAACAGCAAAACCAAATCCAGTGGAGCCAGGAGCCTGGGTGAGGCTGGTCGCTGTCCCAGCGCCACAGTGCTGAAGCCCAAGGCCACAGAGACGGCAAGTCACACTAGACGGTCCAAGCCAGAAGGAACTTGAAGAGGTGCATGCTAAACAGGTTCCTGATCATTCCATTGCTAACAGCCTGGGACTCTTAAATGCCTTTCAGAAAATCCTGGTTTCTAATAAAGCCTCAAATGCATACACACACACACACACACACACACACACACCACATTGTCCTATGCTCTAAGCTGCTCCTTGGGTATGAATCTATACTTATGGAAACGTAGAAACACACCTTTTTAAATAGCTGCTGTCCTTTTCACATTTTGATTTATTAGGTACTAGCACCAAGGGGAGGGGGGAAATTCAGCACTTGGACTAGCATAGGATGAGTCGAACTTCTCTTGTACAAAGTGAATTAACTGATTTGTGAAGTTAAAAGGTTGTACTCATTGTATTTACAAAGAATAAAAATATATTGAATTTAAGTAAATTTTGCCTGATTTACTTAAATCAGGCAAACCCACCTCCCTGGCTCGTTCCTCCCTGTCAGCAACAAGGTGGCGGTGGCCCCAGCTGGGATAAAAACCAAAGCTTGGAGCCCTCCAGCACGGAGCAGAAAGAACCGAGCTACAAAGGCAATTTCCTTTTTACAGTGAAACCCATTTGTAAAATGATGAATAAAGAAATAAAACATAAGATCTCATTCTCTGCAGCACTCAGATGTAATTGCATCTGTTAGGAAAATTGCTGTGTGAGGAAGAACAAGGCCGATGAACGGTCCTTCATTCCCTACCGGTTTCCAGCCCTCACCAGTCCTGACCAGGAGCTGCAATCACTGTACCGGCGAGAAAAACGGGGAGGGAGCAATAGGAAGGTCATGTAGAAGTCCCGGGAGATCTGAGGAAATGCCCTTCTGCTGGAGCCCCAGGGTGAAGAGCATGGGCTTGTAGGTGTCAGGCCAAGCAAGAGTCGGTATGCCTCTCTTCTTGACTGCAGTGACCCTGCAGACAGAATGCATGGAAGGTCAACCCTCCACGCCTTGTCTGCTGATGCTTCAGAGAATGGGAGTCTAGCTTGAATGGTAGCACAGTGGTAGGAGACTTGCCCGTTGTGCACACGGCTCTGGGTTCTAGACCCAGGACCATAGAAGAACAAAAGGCCTTCAGACAAGTATGCAAGAGCATCCCTCCATCTCTCTTTATATCTCCCCACTCAAATGTCCATCAACAGAGAATAGACACGCCATGGCAGAGAGGGAAAGACTAGACCCATGTTTAGCTGGGGGCAAATTATCAGAGTTGTGGAGGAGAAATGAACGAAGTGTATGGGATATGCATGACTTGGGATCATTCATATAATCTGGCAACCTCCGGATCACACACTCTTTGTAGCCGTTTAAATGTTAGAGTGAACATTTAATGCAAGCATGGGAGGATTAAATGCTAACTCTGGAGACAGGTCAGATCTGGGAAGTGAGAAGATCAAGAGGATCTTCAAACATCTGTGTAATGGCTTAATTATTAAGAAACAAAATCAGAAACACCTGTGAGATCCAAGCCAAGACCCAACAATACTGGCTGACTGGCCCGGGTTGTTTATCCATATATTAGTCAGGTTTTGCTTCAGCGCTGCTAGGTGACAATTCCCTAAAATAAAAGGTTCAACCTCTGTCATCAGATGGAATTAATAAGTCTGAAAACAAAAATAAATAACCTTCCCAGATTTAAAAATAAAAACTTATCTGTCAGATGAGAGTCACTGCAGCTCTGTTGATTTGACTTGAGCTGAGTTTTTGTTGTTGTTTGTTGGAGGCAAGGCTTTGCTGTGTAGCCCTGGCTTGCCTCCTCTAACTCACAATCCTCCTGCCTCAGCCTCCACAGTACCATACTTTCAGGCATGTGCCACCACACACTGAAATCGGAGGGCATTGGGTCTGGGGCTCAGTTCCTAGAGCGCCTGCCTAGCACGTATGAAGTCCTGGGTTTGATCCCCAGCACTGCATAAGCCAGAAGTGTTTCAACACATGAAGAATCTTAGCACTGGGGAGGTGGAGGAAGGAGGAAAATGGTAACTTTTGGCTACTTAGCATTTTGGAGGCCATTCTGGGCTCTGTGAAAAACCTATTTCAGAAAAAAAAAAAGTATGGCAAGAAGCCCATCTTCCCATCTTGAGGCTGCTCCTGCAGAGATTCCAAAGCGAAGGAAGAGATGTGCTGATGCTTTAGCTCAGGACTTTTGCATAAGTTCAGAGTCTGATCTGATTCTCGTTTGAAATAGCAGAGATAACCAAAACAAAGTCATCCTGGTGAGAACCCGTGTTCTGTGGCTTGTCATACAAATCTTGTCCCTCGCTAATGTTGGTTCCTCTTTAATGTTACGAGAATACTCGGGAAGATTAAAAGAGATTACAATTGTTCTAGGTATTATTATGATGCAGTCTGTCGCCTCCCACCCACCTGGAGCTCCTTCTCCCCTGAGATTAGATTTGGCCACAGGTCTAGGTTTGCCCAGTGGAAAGTAAACTGGCTCAAGAGTCTCAGATTATTCCATTGGTATCTCAAGGCTTTAAATCTACTTTAAGACACCATGATTTGAACCCACTGGCCAGAGACTGGCCATTGCTGCCTTCCTTGAGCTCCTTTTGTTTTCAAGAGGGGCTTCCTACATAGCCCAGGCTGGCCTCAAACTTCTGACCCTCCTTTCTTACCTTCCAGAAGCTGGGATTACAGGTATGTCCTGCCATGCCTGGCCCTTTATTATTTTTATTGAAACAGGAGCACTTTACTTTTCCCATGTGTCTAGCTGTCACCTGGCTGTCCCCTGGCTGTCCCCTGGCTGTCCACCTACTTGGATCTCTTCCAATGTAGCTGCTTTGGTGTCTTGAGTTTCAATGGCTGTGATAAAACACTATCACCAAAAGTACCTTGCGGGAGGAAAGGGCTTAATTCCTCTTATAACTCTCAGGTTACAGTTCATCACTGAAGGAAGGCAGGGCAGGAACTCAAGGAAGGAACTGAGGCAGATGCCATGAAGAAACCATGCTTGCTGATACCCAGGATTTACCTGCCCAGGGGTGGCGCCACCCACAGTGTGCTGAGCCTTCCAATGTCAATCACCAATCAAGAAGATGTCCCATGGGCCATGTAGCAGGGGCATTTTCTCAAATAAGGTTCCCTCTTCCCAAATGACTGTAGCTTGTGTCGATCTGACATAGAATAGCAGGCACACTGGGTATCCCACATTATAGACGGTTCTCCGATTACCTCTTTGTTGATTGACCTGGGTTGTTTGCAGATCTTCACTACACCAAACTAAACTGCAAAGAACCAAACTTCTATGCATACTTTTTGTGGCCTTGCAGGGTATTTCTGCAGGATAAAGTCTTAGAATGGTGTTTCTGGGTCAAAGATTATATGCATTTTTAATTTTGATGGATACAGCCAAATGGCTCTCCAAAAGGGTTGTATCAATTTGCACTCCTGCCAAGAGGGTCTGAGAGGGCCCATTTCTCTGCTCAGAATTTAAAAGTGCTTAATCAGACAAAGGCTTGATGAACACTTCAGAAGCTGTTAGAAAAAATACAGAAAATGCATATGTTCCCATCATGAATACGCCTCCAATATGGTGCTATTGCTCTGGCTAAGTGGGTCCTGCCCAGCCCCCATGGTCAGAGTTGCATTGGTAGGCCACTTCCGTGAGCCTGAGGAATGTCCACGTCACAGTGAAGGTCAGGAGAAAGTAGGTGAATACAGACGAAAATGCAGTTCGGCTCACATCTTCTACTGCTAAGGTCTTGCCACACAAGCCAACCTACTTGGGGCTGGAGCGTCGCTTGGTGGTAAAATGCACGCCTACTGTGTGCAAGGCCCCAGGTTCAGTCTTCACTACTGCAACAAACAACCCCCAGAGAACGCCAGATGCTCGTTTAAAACAAACATTTAAAAAAATAATCACCTCTGAAATCACAATCTCCCTCCCTTCCTCTCTCTCTCTCTCTCTCTGTAGTAGGGGAGAGGGACAGTGGAGGGAGGGTGGGAGGGTGAGGGAGGGGAATGGAATTATTGAGCAGTCTGCGGGGACAGCAGGCTGGGCAGTAACTCTCCTTAAACTGAGTTAACTCCAGTACCCTTATCACAAATGACAAATGGCTTATTTCCCACGTGGTCTGCATTTTTAGCAGTGCTGCTTGTAAGTTTTTGGAACATGTGCTGGCTTTTTCTCCAAATGCTGCTAACCTCCACGGGCCCTGCTGTGGAAAGCCCTCAGCACTCAGCTGCACACAGCCAGCTGGCCCATCAGAAGTGTGGCACCAGGCGCACTCTCAGACAAGAAACCAGCGTGCTGCCCCATGTCCTGGCATCTCCGTGTCATGCTGAAGCGCTTCCATGCCCTAATTGGAAGCTCCCAGTGGAGTCAATGTCAGGAGGACACCAAGATTCCAGCTTTGCTCTTTAGACCAGCAGGGTAGCCATATTCCGTCCATGGTACCGCTGTCACTAATATCTTCTGGTTTCTGTGTCGCAGCACATTGAGCCAGGGTCAGGAAGACTCAGATTCCTTCTTCATGAAGGACAGAAGACAGACATAGTCGCCAATGGTCAGCCTAGGTGTCTCCTCAGCCATGAGCCTGTGAGCCTGGGGAAAGAGCATGGGCCAAGGTCACAAGTCTGGGCTTCTAGTTGTGTCCATGCGATGTTGGGCACATCACCTGCCCTCACTGCTCCTCTGGGCTCCAGCTGAAAGGAGTGTTCTGCTCAGCGGGGTCTAACAGCGTTCCTTCTAGTCTAATAGCGTAGGGTCACTTTTTTCAGGTGGGCCCAGGAGGCCCCCAGAACGAGAAGTTCTCCTTGGTGGCAAGACTAATCAGATTAAGCCCGTTTCCAAATGTGCTTAACCTTGGCTGCTGGTCTCCCAAATCCTTCCATTTAGACAAGTCCATCTTCATCTCAGCTGCTCATGCGATCACCTGGGAACTTTAAACATCCCACTACTCTGGCTGCAGCCCACGCCAATTACATCAGACCCCTGAAAAGAGGGCCCAGGTGCAAGAGGTGTATGTGTGCATGTGGTATTTGTGTATGTGTGTACAGTGTATGTGTAGTGTGTGTGTGGGGTGTGTGTGTGTGTGTGTGTGGTGTATAAGTGTGGTTTGGGGTGTGTGTGGTACGTGTGGTGTTTGTGTGTGTGTATACAGTGTATGTGTATGTGTGTGTGTGTGTGTGTGTGTGTGTGTGTGTGTGTGGTGTGTGTGTGTGTGTTGAACCCAGGGCTTTGTGCTAGGTGCCCAGCCACTGAGCTAGACCCCAGCCTGATACAGCATCAAACTACCAAGTGCCTCCTGCTGCAGCTAAGGCTAGCTGCCCCAGCAAGGATGGGGAAGGAGCATCTTCCAGCTCCAGGATTGTTGGTGAGTCTGATCCCCTGTGCCTGCTTGCTCTCCCCCTACTCTCTGGTGACCTTTTAAGAAGTTAATTCTTCCCCTCTTCTCCTGCTCCGGCCTGTCATTGAGCTCACCCAGCTGATTGCGGAGCTTGTGATTGAGGACCTCTTCTGACCGATTCCCTTTCCCCCAAAATTAACGTGATCATTAAGGCTTATAATTTCACTCACCAGTGCTATCAATCAAGGGGCTGCGAAAATGGAGTTAAGAGTCCTTTTGTAATTGGCACCAGCCTTGGATCCTGAGCAGAGCATTCATGGTCTGTGGGGAGGCTGGAGGAAGGGGGAGCTGGTAAGCAGAATAGAGCTGCACCCCTGAACTGACTCGCAAGGCTTGCTTCCCCCCCACAGGCCCTCCCCCAGAGCTAATAAGCTGCACTCTCTCTTCCGTAAATGTTAAAATGAGGAAGCCAGATCTTCCCCCCCCCCCAAGTCTCTCGGAAGTATAGCAGGTCTCTCTGGCACCTCGAAATAAGGAAGATGAATAGATTCTTTATACAAAATGGAGAACTCAGTCTAGTTCGAGAGGAGCAGTTAGTCTGGATTGTCCATTGTTCAAAGTGGGGCTGAGGCTGTCAGATCCAAAGGACTGGCACATCCTTGCCTGCTGCCTCAGGACCTCAGACACCACAGCTGAGCTCAAAGCAATGGCAATGCACGTTGTATCCCCTCCCCCTTCCCAGGTAACTCTATACTGTCTCTGAGTGTAGTAAACTGTGGGTCAGACCAGCCCCCGACAAGAGCTGCGTTCTTCCTGGGAGGGCTTGGGTGTTCCAATTCTACTCTATGCAGTGCCTCATGGAACATTTGATACATACATGCTAGGTGGGATGTAGGCCAGACGTAAGGGGGCAGCTATTTCAAACACATTATGCTATAATAGGGAAGTAGAGGCAAGAAGATCAGGGGTTCAAGGTCATCCTCAACTACACAGCAAGTTCAAGGACAGCCTGGGCTACAGAGGACCCTGTCTCAAAAACCAAACAATGACAGCAATCAAATACAATATCATAACAACACAAAACATCTTTTTCCTTTTTTTTTTTTTAAAGACAACACCATAGGAAAACCTGGAGGAGGGGGAAGCACCTCTAATCCATCTCCTTAAGGATTTCAGCTCCTGCTTGATTTCCTAGTCGCTGCACACACACCTATATATGTTACCATAGCTGCAATCAGTGAACACACTTTGCATTCTGATGCCCTCACTATCCTAGCACTTACATTTTCTACTTGGAGTTTATGGGCCTTCAGAACTCCTTCCTCTGTTTGCATAATAATTCTGTTATGTGGTGTGCGCCAGGATGTCCTTGCCATTTGCTGTTTGGGATAATTAGGCTTAACAAAAATGCTTAATAAAATAAATGCGGAGCGTTTGAAATAGCACGAACAAAGCCTACTCTGGATGGTGCTTACATCATGGACTCGGGATAAAAAGACAGCTCAGAGGTTATGAGCACTGACTGCTCCTTCAGAAGACGTGGGTTCAAGTCCCGGCCCCCACCTGGTAGTTCACAACCATTTGTAACTTCAGTTCTAGGGGAGCTGCACTTTCTTCTGGCCTCCCCAGGCACCCAGTGTACAAGTAGCACATAGACACACATGCAGGCAAAACATCAATACCCACAAAATAAAGATAAAATCTTAAAAAACAAGGCAAAACTCTGGGCTCCTGGTTCCTTCTTCCTGAGACTGAGTCTCAAGAGGAAAGTGGGCTCTGGGGATCTGCACTTAGCAACAGTTTCCCCTGTTTCCACGCTTCCCTCAAATATCGCTTGACCCTTGGTCTGAGTTTCTTCTGGGGCCACAATGACACCAAGAGACATTTCTTTCCTTTCTGAGCTTCCAGTCAGTGCCAAGGCCGGGCAGAGAACAACTCTTTAAAGAGGTGGGTCATGGCTGGTAAGACAGCTCAGAGGGTAAAGGCGCTTGCCTGAAGCCTGAAGCCTGATCGCATAAATGTGATCCCCAGGATCCCCACAGTAGAAGCTACGAACCAACTCCCAAAGTTGTCTTCTAACCTCACGCACAAGATGTGGCACACACAGCCACACAGCCGTACCTCCAAGAAAACACTATGGACCAGACCTGTAATCCCACAACTTGGGAAATGGTAGTGAGAGGGTCAGGAACTGAAAGCCAACCTTGGCTACATACCTAGTTAGAGGCTAGCCAGGGCTAGCTACAGGAGACCCTGCCTCAAAGAACAAGAGGCAAGACACACAGAATGTGTGCGCCATGTTGGAACTCCTCCCAACACTGGCTGTTTGTCGGTGTCTGCTGTACATTTGTTCTCCTGGGAGGTAGGGTCACCTGAGACTGTGACATTGTTCAGGTCCTACTCAGCAGGAGCCAAGAACATTGTTCCTGGTGCCTGGTTGCAGGAGCTCAGCAATCTGTGATAGGCTGCTGGACAAGATTGGCTGTCCTTCCATCTGGTCTGCCTGGTGGGGAGTAAGAGTCCAGCCTGCGGAGGGGTCGGTGCAGAATGGTTTGGCTCAACACTGGGTTCACTATGCATGATGAAAATGTCCCCTAGGCTCATATGCTTGATTGCTTGGTACTCGATTGGTGGAACTGTTTAGGAAGGATCAGAAGTGTCACTGGGGTAGACCTTGGGGTTTCAAAGGACGCTGCCATTGCCAGTGTACTCTGTTTCCTGCTTGCTGTTTGAGATGTGAGCTCTCAGCTGCTGTTGGAGCTGTTAGCTCTACTCTTCTATGGACTCTAAGCCTCTAATGCCATCAGCATCCTCAAAACCTTCCTTCTATAACTTACCTTCATGGTGTCTTACCACAGCAATATAAAAGTAACCTAAGACATTATGGATCCTGGAAGCATAGCCCCTTCCCCACATCCATAAGAGCTCTTAATGTCGGGTTCCTTCTCTCTCAAGTCACACCATAAGGGTCTCCTGATCTGGCTAGTTTTATGTCAGCTTGACACAGGCTAGTGTCATCTTGAGAGAAGGGAACCCCAATTGAGAAAATGCCTCCCTAAGATCTGGCTGTAGACAATACTACAGAGCATTTTCTTAATTAGTGATTAGTGAGGGAGGATCCCCCCCATGTTGGGGGTGCCACCCCTGGGCAGGTGGTCCTGGGTTCTATAAGAAAGCAGGGTGAACAAGCCAGGAGGAATAAGCCAGTAAGCACCCCTCTTCCAAGGCCTCTAGAACACTTCCTGCCTCTGGGCTCCTGCCTTGTTTGAGGTCTTGCCTTGGCTTCCCTTCATGTGACGCAGGATATGTAAGACAATTAAACGCTTTCCTCCCCAAATTTCTTTTGCCACAGTTTCAACACAGCAATAGAAACCATAACTAAGGCATATCATCATGGCCTTGCCTTAGTCATGAGGCTCGAGGGGCCAGGGAAAATGTCTGCTTCATTTCCCATTGCTTACATTAAACCCTGCGTGAAGACTTTTTGCTGCTTAACAAAATGTCAGGAATAGCCAACTCAAGAGAGAAGGGTTTACTTTGGGCTCATGGTTTCACTTCACAGTTGTGGTCCATGGGGGCCATGGTGAGGCAGGACATGGTAATGGAGGGTATGGCAGAGACTCCCCCCCCACCCATGGCAGACAGAAGCACAGAGAAAGGAAGGGACTCAGATCCAATACGACTTTCAAGAAGATGCTCCTGTAGACAGCCCATGACTTCCACCATCTCTCAAAACAGTGCCACCAGCTGGAGGACCATGCTTTCAACCACAAAGCTGTGGGAGACATGTCAAAGACAAGCCATGACACCCCCAAGTCTGGAATTGGCGCATCTGTAAGTAAGGAAACAGGAATGAGACTGGGTTCGGAATCCAGACACACCATGAGCAGACAGTGTGACCACTCGGAGCCTGGCTCTGACTCCAGCCCTGCCTGGTCAGTAAAGCAGAGTGGCCATCTGCCCCACCTAGAACCTCAAAAGAAGTAAGGCAGTGACCAGCTGGCTATCCCTGGTTGTCTACCCCACAATTCAAGCCTTTCCAGCACAAGCCAAGGGGAAGTTTATAAACAATGGTGAACATCATCTTCAGACTTTAAGCATATATATATATATATATATCAGCTGGTTTCTAAAGATAGAAAATGAACCTGTTTCCCAATCAACACCACATCCCTCACATTGTCTAATTTTCATCTACTTTTAGTGTTCACTCTTTCTTAATTGCTCATTATTGCAGCTTCAAGGCACGGGACAGTTGGGTGATGGACTGTCACACCTGAAAGCCTGTCTTTGAGAAGTCACAGGGTTTCTCGCTAGAGCTTTGGGCTTTTAGTTTGGGAAGTATTCTCCAGTGCACATTTGAGCAGCACTGGTAACTTGCCTACCCTCTCTTAGTAGTGGAGGGTAGTGCAACCTTTGGGGCCAGCAAGATGGCTCAGTGGAAAGCGCCTGCTGATGAGAGTCCCTGGGCTTGTCTGGTGGAAGGGAACCTTCCTCCCTGGGCTGTTCTCTTACCTTTGTGAGTGCACATGGCACGCTCACCCCCACCAACAAATAATGTAGCACATTATTATCACACACATGGGCATCTTTCAGAGACACCTTCCCACTTTGTGGGTACTGGGGGGTGTGACAAAGGAAACATCCTGAGAGAGCCTGAGGTGGGGGGGGGGCACAGAACTGGTCCTTTCTTGGCACCTCTTTCCTCAGAAGAAGGCAGGCAGTGTCAACAAGCTCAGAAGACAGGGGCTAGCCAATTTGAATTCGGGGGCAGATCACCCTAACTTTCTCTTTCGTTATGAACTAGAGAGGAGGAATTGTACGTCAGTTCTGACATTTTGTCACCTAGACATTCATTGGAATTAATGCTCCTTTAAAAAGTGCATATTTTTGGTGCTGGCCAAGTCTGCCGAGTCCCCCAAACCTTGTCAGCCTGCGCCACCTGCAGCCTCCAGGCCTGGCCCCTGTCATACATCTCAGATGTGCTCCGTCTCAGCCCGATAGTTAGCTCTCAACCCTCATCAAAGAAGGGGTTTTGCTTTTTGTTGTTTTGTCTTTGCAGCAGACGGGGACCGTTACAGAAAGCTACAACTTAACTGTGGAAAGCCCTGATATATCAACCCCTACACCTCAGGCTCAGGACATGTCTGGGAAGTGGGGCCAGAAAGATTAAGAACCAGAGAAACAGGAAGTCCGTTGTAAGATAACCTCTTCTATCTGATAGGGGATCTGCACCCATGAGATCTCTACACGACCTGTACAGGACAACCCCAGCTGGTACCCCCATGTTGATGGGGGAAATCTCACACGGCCCCACCTCAGGATGCAGTGCTATAGGCCATCATTGGATGCTGAGAGAGGAAGAATCTTCTCCAGGGATGGAGTCCTCATA